TTTGTCTTCGCGCGGAACCGGCGAACCGTATCGATCTACACGATCGAGCGAGTGGAAATTTGCGTAGCGGACGATTTCTCCGTGACAAATATTTCTCCATCTGTGTCCGGCCGATAAAACGGAACGACTTCTCGTACGACCGATAAAAGTAGATTTGCGCTAAGACTCTTTCACGCGTGCCCTTTTCGCATTCTTTTGCGATTTGCTACACGAATCGTTCTAACTGTGCTATGATACGCGTTCCATCGTGAAGATTCGACGCGGTGTCTAATTATAATTCGAATTTCGAATTTTTGAATGCTTGACATCCGGGAATACGGGAAATCGGAATTCGATTGGATTTCGAATCTGACAGAAATCTGACGAGCTTCCTTCCTTCCATCGTTGCACGGATAGTTAAAACAGATCTAAGATAAATTAAAGATAAATGTCTTTCGTTGGGAAAAATGGGGGTGGGAAGAAAGGATTGGAAGAGGCTGAGATTGCGTTTCCATTTAGAAGGAACTGCGGGTGAACTAGAATAAATCTGTCGTGTAATCCGCGCATGCAAAGTAACGAACCGAAAAAGGTATTCGTGGGTGTTGTATTCGAACGAATGGACGCGTCTATGTTGTCGTATATTTTCGTTAGAGTTAGAGACTCGTTGGAACGATAATCGAGAATGATGATGTTACGTTACGAATTTACGTTAGGGATTTATACACCCACCTCCCGTGAGTATATTAGGATTTACACGCCTCGTGAGGGTATGGAAATTGCAGTGAAGTTGATAGTTTTGAGAGGGAAGAATTATGTTAAGTTTTTATAAAATCATTTTCTATATATTACTTTTACATAGAGATATTTGCTTTATATAATTATAATATTCAATAATAGTTTCATACTATAAAAAATTGATTGAATTAAAAAAAGTAAACGTCTCTTGGAAAATAAAGGAATACAAGATTCCAATACTTTTTTCCAACTACTGCAATTTTCGTTATTGCAAATTTTATTACATATCCCAATGCTCGAAAAACGTAAAATCATAGTACATACCATTAAGAAAAACCCATTGGAACAACCATCATCCAACTTTCATCAACTGGAACCTTCACTAGACAACAACGATACGCCATCCACGCCATCCACTCTAATGCAAATGGCCGATCCATACGCACGTATTTCCAAACCGTCGTCATTTGCGGCGAGCCGATACGTCTTTGTGTGTACACGCCACACACGCATACACACACACACGCGTTTCATCGTGCAAAACTTCTGAAACCCGCCTCTCGTTCTTCCTGTTGCAGTTTCGGCACGTTGATCTACATGGCCACGCAAATAGCATCCGGCATGAAACACCTCGAGGAAATGGACTTGGTGCATCGGGATCTCGCCACAAGGTAACGACAGACAGGTTTCTCGTAGATTACTTTAAGTCGAAACTTCGCCGATCAGTCATTCCCCGGGCCCGACGTTCGACGTTGCTCTTCCGCCGGCTGACTTTCTTCTCTCGAAACACCGAGTTTCCGGTGTTACTTTTGCACGGGTATATCCGCTCGATCGAGGCGCTCGCAACTTCCACCGCGCGGTATTTCGGCCAGAAACTCGGCACAGTTTTGTCATCACGTGTTTCCGGCAATGGTAACGATCGGCGGCAGTTCGAGCGCGTAATCGTTAACGCGCGGAGAGAATTTGAAGCGGTTGCTTAATGAACTTTCGTTAAATGGGAAAGCTTGGAAGGAGTTGCGGAACCAGAGAAGAGATTGCTTTTTTCTTTTTATTTTCCTTGGAATCGTTTTCGTCGTATCGTTTCGTATTTTGGAGAACGAAAGGAAAATAGCTTTTAAATTCTGCTTTTATGTGGAAAATCGAAGTTCTTACAATGTTCGAAAGTTTTTTCCTGGAGATTTATAAATTGTGTTGAAGAAACGGTTTTTATTTGAATTATATCGATATTTATTTCGTTATTTACAATTTGTTAGTTAATTTCGATGGAAGAAACGATTCGAACGAATTCTTAATGGACAATTGTGCATGAATGATCGTTATTTTTCCATTAAACGTAAACTTGGAGGAAAAAACTCAAAATTTAATGAATTTATTTCTTGCACATCAAAAAAAAATTAGAATTCATTCGTCACCGATATAAATCCTCTCCTCTCCCAAAAGCTTAATTTTCTGCGCATCTTCGTCCGAGAAACAAACGTTCAATCTTCTAAAAAGAAAAATTTAAGCCGACCGCTTAATCAAAGTGGAAGTCATCGTCGTATAAATCGCCACTACGCCCTAAAGACAATGACAAATTGGCCAATTACCTTTCCCCTCGTCGACTAACACGCGTCCAACTTTCTTTCGTTTCGGTGTCGAAGAGTAAGCCACTTCCGGTTTTAAGAGGGAAGTTTCATCGAGTTACGACTTCTCCAATCCTCGATAAAACTACGTGGTGACCTGCGTGCAACCTCGTTGCCAACTCCACGTGTCAGGGCTGTTAAAAGGGAACGAGTTGGAGTGGAGTGGATGATGGTTGGGTCACGTGCTCGAATTATTAACTCTAATCATAAACTTTAATTACAAAGGGTGTCGCAAGTCTGTGGCGGATGAAATTAATTGCCGGTTGATTTACAGAAACGTGTTTTGAGCATTGCGCTCCGAAAACGAGAAAGAAATATAATATAACGTTTTATTTCTCCATTCTTATTGATTTTACTACTGCTCTGATTGGTGGTAAAGGTAATTTACGCTTTTTGCGTTGAATTATCTTACAACGAGAAATTGAAAGCTTTTTGTCAATTTTCCTCGAACAATATATAATTTAAAAAGTATCTAGCGTATTATTATTTTGTGGAAAATTAGCGAAGCAACTCGATCTTAATTTTTAACATGCTGAATGAAAAATGACAAAAGGTCTAATCGATTAGATGCATTTTTTTCTATTGATAAAATTCTACAAATACATTTTCAAATTCTATTAACTTATCGTGTAATGCATCTCCATAAATTCCATAAATTGGAATTCTGCAAAAAAGAGAAAAACCCTCTCGTTTTCAGCGTCAGCGAGGAGAAAATTACGGCATTTTTCCGTAGCAGAAAAGGACTAATTAGAAAACTTATAGTAATACGTTAAAGCGATCGTTAAGCCGCGGTGTTGAATCAGTTTCACGAGAGAGATCTGCAGAGATCTCGAGGACCGTGTCCATTCCATTTCACAAGCTGGATGAATACCTCCTACACCCGCTACCTATTAAACCCCCTCTCGACTGCGAGCAGATAAACGGGCAGTTTTCACGTTCAGAGATCGGCGTGAAACTTGGAACGATCGTCGCTCTCGGCGGAGCCTCGCTTCCGGCTCGAGGCTGGGCTCTCTTAAAAGGCGACTCTCGAAACGGCTCTCCACAATCGCCACGCCAGACGCGGTTTTATAGAATACGCGAAAACGCGCGACAGACGAATGGGCGCCGCCTTGGATTCCCATTCGTCGGCGAAAATGGTTTTACCCTCGAGATGTCGTCCTTTGATCTCCTTCTCTATAACTTTTCGCCATTGAAAACGGTGATTAGCTCGTGAATACTTCGGGGGAGGAAGGCCTAGGAAGGAAACAGAGAAGAATGATAAATTGTGGAGAAATTGTGATTATGATTAACAAATAACTAATATCTTATGGATCAATCTATGGTAAGTGTCGTGGAAGAAGACGTTCTCATTGGTGGTGGTTAAGTTTAATAATTGCAGAAAGTTAGATATTCATTGAAGTAATTACTAATTTTTATTTCTAACTGATTTTTCATTATTCCTTGAATATATTGAATAGAGAAACATATTATTTGTCTCTTCACTAGTAAAAAAAAATTATTGGTAGTTTGATAAGAGTTTGGTCTAATCCTTTTACCATGAAACAAGGATATTATTCGAGTAATATTCAAATTTAATTTTGTAATTTAACAGCTAAAATGAGTTTTAGAAAAATTCATTTGTTTCTGCAATCATTAAAAGCATATAAATACTTTTCATAAAATTACATTTTAACTTACACTTGTATGGATTTATTTCTATCCTAATAACCTGTATATAATAGATTCGATACACTGGCGTTAATCTCGGCACACAATTTCTCAATATTTACTCACAGGGAAAAGAGAGCGAATTAGTCGCGCGAAAATATACGTTTTTCCATCAAAATGGATCAACGTACGCGTCAAACGCACATGTATCACCAAAAGATCTTATCCCTCCTCCGGATACGGGTTGATCCAGTCTCAAGGCCGTAAACAATCCTTCGAGCACGATTCGCGGCGATACATTCGCCTACGTGTTCGAGTGTCGAGATAGGGGAAACCGGAATAATCCACTCGGCCCTGAAGACGGATTACGACTTCGAATCTACCATATTTTCTCGTAGGGCGATGGATTTTACCCCGGATGAAGGTACGGAATAGGAGAAAAACATCGTTCACGGTTTTAGGCAACGAAAGAACGAGGAGAAATATCATATGAAACTGGACTCTTTCTCGTCCAGTTAATATCACGAAAAACAACATTATTAATGTAAATCAATCGATGATTGAAGGGAAAACATTGGTGGAAAATATGTCCAGTGAAAAGTTTCGTACACCCTTTTATAAAGAAATTCGCCTAACTTGAGAATTCTGATTTCAACGATTGCTTAAAGAGCATAGTCTTCTCGAGGAATCTTTTTGAAAACGTGAAATTAAATCCCAAAATTATTAACGTCTTCTTCAATCTTTAATACAATTTCATCTGAGAAGTTTTACAACGAGAGTGTCTTAAATTTTAAATTCTAAAGATTTTTGGACACTGTTACAATTATAGTTATAATTTTAAAGAAACTAAAAAAAATTCTTTGAGCATCTTTGACCACTCCACTTGAAATGATCGATCAGGAGATTCCATTAAAAGTACAAAATACGAAAGCAAGAAAGTGATTCGAATATTTTTTTTTTTTTTTATTTTTTTGTAATCTGCTTTTGATTAACGATTTATGTATGATTTGTTGCAGGAATTGTTTGGTGAGCCGTGGTTACACGGTGAAAGTGTGCGATCTGGGCTCCGGAAGAAACGCCTACGCAGCCGACTATTTCCGGGTGGAGGGCCGGCCGCCATTGCCAATCCGATGGATGGCCTGGGAAGCTATGCTAATGGTAAGTCGTTAATTAGCAGTTAATCTGTAATCGTGGAGCCTCGAATATTGGATTTATAATAAAGTAATTCATTCGGCAGTTTGATTGGTCCGATTCTATTAAGCGTATTCCATTGCGTATGAAGCAATCGATTTCGATAATTTGTAAGATCGTATTTAACGACTAAATGTACGTAACGTTGAATAATATGTTTGGCACATTGATTTAATCCGCGAATATACACGCGTTTGAATGGTATTTTACTACAGAAAAAAAGACAAATGGTGGACTCGTAGTGTACGACATTAAATTGGAATATTTTTTTTTTTCGATACAAATTCAACGTAAAAATAGTTAGTGAATGAGATTAGATTACCTCAGCAATGAGATTTTAAAGACGTTTTATCGAATAATTAGTTCGTGTAAAAATTAAAAAAATTATCCTTTCATGGAAATAATTTAAACTTGTCTTTAACAAAACTTTCAGAAAGATTATAAAAATTAAAACAAAATTACAAAACAATCAAATCAGTGATAAAGTAGAAAGATAAAGAAAGAATCATACAAAGATAGATCATACTTTCTTCGTTCAAGATCATTTATTTTTAATCCTGAATACGAGTCACGAGTACGAATATACAATCGATAATATCACTCGTGTAAAACACACATTCGATTAACTCGACATTATAAACAGATTCTAATTAACTTCATTTATATTTGATCACTTTTTCCTTTTTGTTCGTATCGAATGATCATAGAGAAAAAAAAAAAAAATACGATAAATCTTCGAACGATGTGTACACCATCCCTAATTCCGAAAAAAAAAAATACTTTCAACGGATCGCTTCCCCCGTTTCACGGGGGTGAAACGAATCAAATTTGATCGGTTGAAGCAGACGCCACAGAGCAAATTGTAAACGATTTTTGCAGGCGAGGCGGGGGAGGAAAAATAAAGCGAGCGCGATCGAGTGGCCAGTGATATTTAAATGGACCGTAGCTACGCATCCGCGCGTATGAAACTCGGTTTGGCTTTCGCGAAATATATATACCTCTCCACCCATTGTTTTCACCCTTCTTCCCTCTGCCACGAAATCAAAGCCTCGCGCGTTTCGCGCTTTTGCTCGACGAAAGTTCCAAATTGTTTTTCCCCCCCTCTCCTTCTCTTTTTTGTTTTTGTTTTTTTTTCTCATTTTTATTTTTATTTTTTTTATTTTTTTTCCTCCACATTCCAAGTCAATATTTGCCTTGAAGATTCGCCTCTCGATCCTCCTCCCGCGAAGAGTTGAAACAACAGCGATTACCGTTTAATGCGCGGCTCCAACCACTTCGACTTTGAATCCATCCCGGATCTATTTTAACCCTCCTTGTTCAGAAACCTATCTACCTTGATCCACGGAGGATACGAGGAAATGGATTCGAGCAGATGAAGGGGGTTGAAGGGTGAGAGATTAGGTCATATTACCTGTGGTTAATAAACCCGAAACGTTCGCTTTTTGATGATCCTTCCCTGTTTCGGGGTAAATAATTTTCAACGATTCGTATTATTTTGCTATTAAATTATTATAAATTATTATAATTTATAATTTGTTTTCGGTTAATAGAAATGTATTGTTTCTAAAGATATTTCGTTATTCGTTCGTTTTTGATAAATTTATAAGATTTATAAACGATGTATATATATTTGATACATTGAGATATCGTTTTTGAAAAAGTTTTTACGTTTCAACGGATAATTAATTTAATCCTATTTATTTCGAAGAAAAGATGAACGATAAAGATTTTTTTGTCTTTATGTCTGCGTGTATTTCTGTCTTTGCTTAATGAGAAATTGCAAATATTTGCATTTTTGTCATCCGTTTGAAGTATTTCGATAGGGAAAAGTGTTTCGTAACGTTAATGGTATGCGTGATATTTTGAAAGTATACCGAAACTGGCGCGGTACACAGTTTGCGGTTAGCACGCTCGATAAAAGTAGCCGGGTAAACATCAACGTCTAGTTTGCGGTGGTCGAGACAAGCTTTTTGACTTAATTTCTGCCCACAACAGCCTGCACATTTTTCCATCCATTATACAGCCGATATACCCTTTTACCTCGTGTTTTATTAATTTAAATATTATCTCTGAATGAGAGACGGACACATTTACTAGATAAATCTTCTTATATGTAAAGCTTTTAAAAAAAATCTGAAAAATTCGACGATATTCATTGTTCAAAATTTGTTTACGAATAAAAATTTAAAATATTCGGGGGATAAAATTTCATGAGATTTCTTCCCATGAATAAATCTTTCTAATCTTTTCGCTTTAAAAAAAAAATGATTTTAAAAAATTCGAAATTCTTAAGGGTTCATAAATACTTTCGAAACGTAAAATATTCATGGATAAAATTCCGATCATCTCCTCGTATAACAATTATCCAATTTTTCCTCTCCATTAAATCTTCTAAAAATCTGAATCAATACTTGAACGAATCGATCTTCAAGAATAAAAATTTCCATGAAATCGTATTCATCAACCATTCTCCTTTTTCCTTCCAATTCACATTCAGAGAGAGATTAATTCGCAATAATACAACACCTCTCTACATATTTCAGCTCGCCCCTTAAATTTTCCAAAGATCCAAACATCTAAACTCGACTTAAAGATAGAAACCCACTCAATAATAACATCAAAATTTCATCAATCACCAACAATTATTTTCCAAGAATCCTTCCAAGAATTCACATTCGAAGATTAATTCGCAACAATTGCAACGGGCCACGCCCCCGTCGAAACGCTCCAACTCATAAAACGCCGTTACGTGATAATTTTATCGAAACGAGAACGGATGATTCCCTGTTGTTAATTTATTCATCGCGCGCCTTGAACGTGGCATAGTTATCGGTCAAAAGTAATGCAAGCCGGTTGGCATTCACGACGGCGAATGAAGTCGCGAGAATACACGTTATTCCGCGTGGTTACGGCGAATTTATCGGCGGGGAGCAGGTATACACACATACAAATATATACATATCGGTGTAACGAACGATAGTCAGAGCGAAGCGTATTTTATTCCGGTGTATCCTGTTTTTAATTTCTCGTCCGTGCCCCGCCGATATCGGACTGTCGATCCGCGAAACCGCGAAGCATCAGCCCGATAGAGCTGTCTGCGGTCGCGTGGCATTAACGAATCGGGCTTATTCGCTGTTTCCATGCGCCTCGTGTCATCGCGAGACCGCTGTAAAAGTATCGGTTAAAAAAAAAAAAAAATCGCTTTCGAGGATTCGTTTTCGATGTACAGGGGGCGTATGTATACGTATACACGTATCGTATAGGGCAGTACAGTCGGTCGCAAAAGTGTAGGAGGTTGAAGGAAGTTTATTCGATCTTTGAGAAATCAAGTCGAGGAAAATTTTTTTCGTACGTACGTAGAATATGATACAACGGATGTTATTGTGCTATGAATGCGCAATTTGGTAACTCGTGGAATTTTGTATGAATAGAATATTTGAATAGAGAAAAATACGTGAGATTTGTGAGATTTTGAAGAGTACTATATACGTTTTATATGAAAAAAGAATTGTTATTAATTGTTAAATTTACATAAGATGTACGAACATTTTTGTGACTGAGTGTACACATATATGGGTCTGTGAGAGTTTTATACGAGTGAATATTGGGAAAAAATGAGGTAAAATTGGGAACTTAAACCTTTAACGGACGTATGTCATCTCTGACGAGGCATTGTAAGTTCTTTGTATCGATGTATGCCACTTTTCACTTTGGCATTGATTTATGTCACTTCTGACATTGTAACTTTATTGTATTCGAAGAGATACAGGTCGAAAGAGAATGTGATGAAATTGAACATTGTGAAATCACGCGATTTCCTCGTGTATAACTTGTCTTTTCATCTTATGCAATATCTTTTCTTTTTTTTTTAGAATTCAAATATGCATTTCGTATTTTTGCTTGCATCGATTTTCATCGTAAATAATGATAATCTAGTGACAAGTTGTATGCGAAATGTTAGGCAAGGATCAATAAACACGCTGTTATTATGAACTCGTGAATTGTGCAATCAAGTTTTTATAATTGATGCAAATTAGGTAAAGAATCAAAGTCAAGTGGAATACTATATATAATATCTATCTTTTTTTTATATTATAAATTTTTAGAAATATAATATTTCTTTCGATACAAGAACGTACAATCGTTCAATCGTGTTTCATAACAACGATTTTATAACAATTTCTACGATCTTTAAGGAAGATGCCTTTAAGGAAGATGAGAATGAAGACAATCGATGTCGATGTTTACTGTTCGAGAATGGAAGGAGCGTGTTTCTTTGGATAAGATTTTTTCTTTTTTCGATATTTCATCGAGATCAATATACGCGACAAGTAAAATAAACATGTTTGCGATCAAACGTAATATCGAGCTCGGTCTCTGTCTTTCAGAGGTAATTGGGATCAGGAATATTTGGCGAGACGCGAGTTTCGTGTTAATTGGACGCATTACAGTTGCAACTGCCAACGCCAGTTTCTCTTTAATGACAAGGCCCCGCGCTTTAATTAAATGATAGCAGGCTAATGTTAAACTTAATGTCCCATTTTCCTTAATTCTTCTTGTTTCCTTGTCCTTTCTATTTCGATTTTATCATCGTTGATATTTCGAGCAAATTTTAATTATCAACGTTGAAAAATTCATTATTATATATATATTGCTTTCTTAGGTCTAATAAATTATACAAAAACAATCAAGTTAAATAATTTATTAGTAATAAATTGTTATATAAAATAAGATAATTGAAAGATTAATTCATTGAACAGAAATAGTTACTATGCTTGCAAAATTATTTTGTAAATCATTTTGTAAATCATTTTATATAAACTCCTATTAATTGGATAAAAAGTCACAGTTAATAGGGAGAATTAGATTGTCTCCTATTATAGTGAATAGCCTGATTATGCGAGCGTGCTTGTCCCCAACAGATTCACATAAATGGAGTTCTACTGTATTATTACTGTATTATATTATATACCGATGATAATAGCGACACCAATTCAGATAATCGAGATTCGCATTCACCCTATTGTAATTGTACAATATTCGATGCAAGAAAGGTCTCAAGACGCTTAAACCCCTTTCAAACAAAATATTTCATTACAATTTGCATTTTTCCTTTTTTTTAGATACCCTGCAAATTTCACCGTTGCATTTTCACAAACTGACGAGGTTACAAAAATCCTTTTTTGCCATCCAACACAATCAAAAATATTCAAACATTTTCCTAACCTGTACTTAACTCCATCGTTGACACGTCGTATTTTCGAAAATTGTCGACATGTTTTATAAATCGATGTTGGTCGAACAAACTCTTATTTTTCTAAAGATACAAAAATTTGATCGAATCCTTATTTGACGTGCAATTATTGGCCTGTAAACTCGTCGTCATATTTTCAAAACTGAAGTCATTACATGCCTTGCAAATCAATGTTGGCGATCTCTTGTTTTTCTAAAGATAGAGAAATTCGATCGAACACGATTACTTAATATTTAAATTATAATAGCCTTTTCCTGGCCTGCAAATTTCGTCGTCGAATACATATATATTTCCAAAACTTGAACACGTTTTAAATTGATCGGCCAACTGTTATTTTTCTATAAAAGATACAGAGACTAAGGATTATCGGTGGGAAGATTTTACCGATCGCAAAATATTTAAAAACATTTTGTACACTTTCCCAGTCAATCGAGCTCGAATTTCGTGCATTGAAAAGCGTTCCATCTTATCGCGGATTCGATCCGTTCGAGTGGGTGAGATCGAGGCATCGATCGAGCGATGAGCGCGGGACCCATTAGCATCGGAAATCGCGTATGAATGAAATCCGTGCGGGGGCAAATTGATAGGTAAATGGTAATTCGGGTAAATGGGAAACGAGCGGCCGATATACTATTCCCCTACCTCCTCTCCCTCCCCCTCGCTCGTTCGCGTAGTCATTTTCAGAATTGACTGCGCCGTTAATGTTTCATTATTGCCATCGTTTATCCATCCCGCGCCATTGTGTTAATGAAACGGGGCCAATGGTTCCGTGCACGCGCGCGCACTCACCGCCAAGGGGCCAAGAATTATATCCGGAATTAGCGTCGATTTAATGATTTAAACCGCTCGACTTCTTTATTAAGTTGGAACCAATGTCCCCCGATTCTGTTCCCGTAAACTTTACGACAATTATCAAAATTACCTACAACTGGTGGCATTAAAGTTAACACGTGGCTGGGAATAACGGGGGTTGCTGCGACGCTCGAGGAAAAGGGGAAGTTTGTAGGTGAAACGAAAGTTATCGAAATTGACGAGGTTTTATTATCTTTAAGTTAAAGAATAAGTGAAAAGGTGTTAATTTTTAATTTACAAATATCGAGAGATTTTGAAATTTAAGGGGAAGTTAGTGATAGCTCGTAGGTGGAAAGCTATCGAGATTTACAACTTTATTTTTTTTTCTTCGTTGTGTGGCTAAAGGATTATCGATGCAATTGTAAAAATATAGAAAACATAATTTATGATTAATCAGAATTAATACATGGAATAACTAGGGATAATTACAATATTGGAAACATTGAATGAATTTATAAGTGAAACTATGAAAGCTGTCAATGTTGAGTAAGGTTTGAAATTAAACTTTTGTTAAAGAATCTTATATAGTGAATAATTTAAAGATTTTCTTATTAACTCAATAATATAAACACTCTAAGATTAATAATAATCTTACATCGGATTTCATTTACAAAATTGGCGAACGAGTGATTAAGTTTCCCATCGATTCGTCGAACGATTCTTATTTTCAGTGAGACTTTTAATCGCATTTAATACTCAACGGCTAATTACGATGTCGGATTAATGGGCGTAACGATTGTTTTAATCATCGCACGTGCACGCACGTTGCAGAACAGAGAGTCATATATATATATAGAGTTTCTGGTACATGCGTGTTACCCGTTAAACTTGATGCCGTCGTGTACACCGCTTCTTAAGATGGAGTAGTTTCATGAAATTACGTAACTGAAACACTTAAGTTGAAGTAATTTCTCGTCAAGCAACGATACCACCTGCCGTGCACGCCGCCTCGTAAATAGATTTCTAGTTCGAACTACTGTTTACGCGACAGGACACGGGGGGAAAATATTACTTTCGTCACGAAATTTCAGATAAACTTTTGTCTTCTTCTCGCGACGAAAAAAAGAAAGATGACTTATTCCTTATTTTATTTAAGGGAAAAATATCAAAAATCATGAGAGAATCTCTCCATTCTTGATTCTAAAGATAATTGTCTATTGTTTCCCTCTTGCGTTGTATTTATGCAAATTTATATTTTGCAAACGAGAAATTTTCAACCTTTCGATAATTATTTTTGAAAATTCTGTTATTTATTATCGTTAAACGTGGAACGTACTTAATCCAATTTTTTTTTTTTTTTTTTTTGATAAAACAACGTTATACAAATTTTATAAACGTGTATTGATTATATTGTATAGATATTTTCTATCACAGAAGTAATAACATAGAATTTTCTTGGTTATCCGATGTATTTTTTTCCCCCCTCCCCATTTTTATCCCGATGAATTAACGACAGTGAAAAATAAAAACCGATCGTGCGTTCAACTTCACTTCTTGAAAATCGAATATTCCATTTGTGTTTTTTTTTTTTTATGTGCGTTACTATTGATCGAATTATCGTTTAATATTTTATTGTTTGTATTAAATTACACGATAAAAAATATTTCGATTTTTCGGGCGATCTATTCGAGTCGTCCAATTGCAATTTTTCAAATAACATTCAAGATAAAACGTTCACACTGGGGCGGATGAATTTGATTAACGATAGTTTTAAACTATGACCGAGGCACTGTTACATTTTCCACGTTTTTCCACCTCGATTCCGCAGGGTTATACTTTGCGAAGCTTTGCTCTTTTTGGATCTGTCTGTTACGCTTTAGAATTTTTTTTTTTTTATCTGTTTCCTTTTCCTCTCTCGATACTGTGAAATTTTTTTTGCTATTAATATTATAATATTCAGAAAAACTAGATCTCTCGTATCGATCCTTAAATGGAAAAGCAACTGGATTTGCAATTACTTACTTTTTTAATTGGATCTTCTTTTGTGTTAAATTATTTTAATATTGAAAAATATTACGGCAAAACGTAGGGTAATTCATGCGGAAAGCAATAAAAGATAAATCTGCTTATCTGTTGAAAAATATTCAACAATATTCAGTATGGATGTTAACGTAGTTTTAAATAGAATTTTGAATACAATTAAAAGATTAAAAAAATTCGTTTCTCTTTCTAAATATCAAACATTTAACATCAATAAACATTTCGAATTCAAAATTGAGATTCACAATTATTTTCGAACTAAAAAATTATCCTTTATTATCTTTTGAAATTCATTTCACTTTAACACATTCATCCATCGAATTTTTCCATACTTTGCCCACAACATCAGATTTAAAATTTCATTTAAAAAAGTGCAATTGTTTATACACGCATCGTTAAATATAAACTTTGTGAAGTGAAAATGAAAATTTCCACTGTCCGAAATCAGTCTGTCTCGATACAATGATCGAAACTGCATAATTACAAATGAATTCAGGGAAGACACGCATCGAAGAGCGACGTCTGGTCTTTCGCAGTAACTCTTTGGGAGATTTTAACGTTCGCAAGGGAACAGCCGTTCGAGGAGCTGCCCGATCATCGCATAGTCGAGAATGCAACGTATTTTTACCAAGAGGACGATAGAAGGGTGAGTATACGTTCCTCCTCGTCCTGCTACGCGATTCGATGAACACTAGTATCTCGCATTGAACGATCTTCCTTAAAGCCTTTCATCTCCATGAACGGCACCATTCGTTTTTCCAACCTCTCGATTTCTCTTTCTCTTATTACGATTTAATTAAACGATTAAATTATTAATAATTAAATCCTTATTATTAGATGATCAAAGGAAGGAGGAGTTGAGAGAACTGTGAATAAAATGATGAAACTTTAATTAGAAACCGCGTATGTTCGTAAAAATGTATCGTAGAACTCTATCTTTTATATTATGTTACACGAAACTTTATTCTTCGTTAATTGAAGAATAAAACATATCAAAATGCGAAAGTTCTTTTCTATATTTTGTGTGAAAGTGGTATTCTGTTGATCAAAAAAAAATTCTCTTTTTAAAAAATTTCTACATCTATTGTTTCGTATCGATATGTCTGTTCTACGATACATTTCTTTTGTCGAAATAGAACATAAAAATAATTATTTAACGTGTTATAAAATATACGTGTAATTATAATAATGTATAATAGGTAGAGTATATATATACACACGATACATACGTACAAGTGTTACACATACAAAATTTCAAAATTTTATTACTAATTTTATTACGTATATTTACCAATAATTTTATTTAATCTTTTCTTTCATAAATTCGTTTAAATATACCGCACAATTCCATTATACACCGCAATATTTATACATTGAATGGAAATTATTCGAAATACACGGATCTGACTTTTTATTTCAAATAATAATAATAATAATAATAATAATTAAATATATATTCCACACAAAAATTCGCAAAAATCTACTCGATGAAAGATTCAGAAACTCAACAACAACAACAAAAAAAAAACATTCGAAACAAATACGTATCGTATTAATTCTATTTTTTCTTTTTTTTTTTTTTTTAAAACGCACTTGTACAAAATTTCCACCAAACCTTTCAATTTATTTCTGTTTATTCGAATCAACGAACAACGCAGCAGAATATTTTCAAACTGTACGAGCACGATAACATTTGTAATCGAATCACAACTTTGACGAACGACTCGAACGCACGAACACACGAACATCTTTTTCCATATTTTTTTTCGAATTTATCCGAATTTTATTTAATATTATTTCCCGCAGATCATTCTTCCCCTGCCGAAAAACTGCCCCAAAGATATCTACGAGCTGATGCGCGAGTGCTGGCATAGGAACGACGTGGACAGGCCGAGTTTCCGGGAGATCCACATGTTTCTCCAGAGGAAAAATCTCGGTTACAAGCACGGGGAGACGAACGACACCTGATACAGAGAGCTAGAAGGCTGGAACCTGATCCGGCTTTCTATGATCGGCGAGCTGAACGGGAACTGGTGGAACTCCCCTTCCACGACCAAGTTACACCAGGTCAGGCCAAGTTAGTAGTGCACCGATGACACGAGGATCAATTCCTGATTGTCGAATCGTCGAAGACAAAGGTAAACGGTGATCGAGATGGTTCTTCGTTGCCCTATCGTCGATAATCCTAGTGAATTTTTTAATAAACTGTGCAACTTGTACGCGGTGAATTATTATTATTATTATAATCATCATATCATGCGATCTTGAACGATTATGAGGGAGTTTGTTACAAACAATTCCTTTTCTCTCCTCGATTCTCTCGAAATTTATAATTCTCGTAATATTTTTCACGATATTCGCAGAATCAAAAGAGAAAAAAAAAATGACGAATCAAAATTTTTTATGGAATAATAATTTTTCATCGCTCGTTACTCTTCTTCTAAGATTATTTTCCTCCGGTTTGAAACGTTGACCGCGCGTAACCGTGCAATTAAAAAAGCAACAAAGCACGAAGATAAGAAAAATAAATAGAAATAAAAATAAAAAAAATAACAGCGCGAGAACGATCTCGAGCAAGCGGATATATATATATACGAAATGGGAGCGTTCCTAGCGCGGGTCCAATGGGCGGAAAGCACGTTCAATAAATCGCGCACACGCCATTTCTGAAATTGATACTGTCAGCAAACAAGCTTATGACACCCGCCGCAACGGCACTCGCGTCACGTTCAGAATACACGTGGCCCGTGGACTTTGGAAAATCGCGGAGGATACAACAAACGGTCTCCACCGATCATTTCCTGGAAACCTCTTCTCTCCCCTCAATCTGTGTCCAACGTTGTACGTGTGATCCGATCCGGGAGGCCGAGAAATACCATCGCGTGAAAAACCCTCTTCGTAAACCATTGCGCGTCTACGAAGTTTTTACGAAGAGAAAAAGAGGAGGAAGAAGAGGAGGAGAAGGAGAAGAAAAGTCGAAGGAACAAATTATAGTGGATCGATTCGATTCGATTGGGTAGCTTTTCTTTTTCACGACGATTCCTCGTCGTTGTGTATCCGATAAGTAATCGAGGACACGATAATCGAGGGAACGTTTTATCGCACAGTGACGCCCTGTTACACGGTTTTAAGAATCGAGAACGAATTCTGAGAGATGTGAAACGGGAGTGGAAAATACGTTTCTTGGTTCTTGGTTGATTGAATGTAAATTGACTCTGGATGGAAGTTGGAAACGAAGTATGGCAAATGTGCGAGATTGTTCTTTCTTTTTCTTTTTCTTTTCTTTTTTTTTTTTTGAGGGAGGGGGAAGAATTAATTGATATGGAAATACTGGTGGAATTTGGATTACATTGGCGCCCTCTGGTTCAAGTGAGCTAGTAACATTAGTGAAATTTAACGAATTACTAGTTACTAGTGTATCGGATAATAGTTTGGCAATAAAACTAATAACGAAGATTTATAATTACATTTTCATCGCAACTTACAACTCTTACAACTTGTCAATTCACTAATCTTATTATCTATCGAATCATCAGAGGGGTCCATAACTTACTAGCCATAAAAATAAATATAAATAAATAAATAAAGCGGTCGCAGAATGGTCGAAGTTCGTCGGAGTGTAAAAATTGAAAATTGGAAAAAAAAAAAAAGAAACAATTCCTCGAGAGCCTGCTGGCTTACCTTTAAGTTCCCTGAGACTATTACTGATAAGCTTAAGATGCGCTTAGCCGAAGTGCATAAATGTTTGACAATACCATTAGAGGTTGCAAGTAAATAAAGAAACAGAAAAAAAATTTCGTATACATATATATATATAAATAAATAAATAAATAAATAAATAAATAAATAAATATAGCAGATGTAAAGAGATGTTAAAAAAAAGGGTTTAACCGATAGCGTAAAAAATTTATTAGAGAACGTCGTTTT